CCAGTCTGGAGAGGCAGTGAAAGCAGTTTAATCTACCCATTCCAGACTTCCGTCAAGTGCAGGCACTTTCCAGGCTTGCCTTCTGAACTTCATGAGAAAAAGAATCAGAGTAGTACATCTGCGGATAATTGGGCTTGCTTTCTGGAACAGGCTGTTCCTGTCCTCCTACACTCTAATCTTGTGGATTGCAAGATCACCAAGGAGCACAGACAGGCAAGTGCTGTGAGGTGTCCATCCGTGTCTTTCCAGAACACCTGTTGCCTTTGAGTGAAGGCCTCAGTCTCGGTCATCAATCACTATATGGTTTATAAACATGGTATAGCCACACAGTCCTGCTTTAGAAGCCATCTATGAAAAGCTTGGATGTAAATGAACATGTTTGACTGTAGGCCTCGATCAGATACAAAGCAGATTGCTCATGTGTAGATTCTGAAACCCTAAATACATTAATGTCATCAGACCTATCCAGGAAAAGGATAAAAGTGGGCTGGACACAGTGGCTTACACCTGTAATACCAACACTTTGGGAGGCTGAGGTGGAAGGATCCCTTCAGGCCGGGAGTTTGAGACCAGCCTGGGCAAAATACCAGACCCCACCTATAAAACAAAACAGAGCAGAAATCAAATTAGCTGGGTGTGGTGGCATGCCGCTGTAGTCCAGCTACTTAGGAGGTTGAGGCAGGAGGATCGTTGGGGCCCAGGTATTCAAGGCTTCAGCGAGCTGTGATCCTGCCACTGCACTCCAGCCTGCGCAATTGATTGTCGATTCAGTTCTCAAGCATAGATGCGAGGGCAGTAAATTAATCACATGGGTAAATGTCTCCTGCCCCAGTCTTCACGTTGTTAGCTTTCTACTCTAGGAGTAAGTGTAGTGCCACTTTTGATAGGTTTCCAAAGCTATTCTATGCAAAAACAGGCATATATGGCTACTTCTTCCTCACCTCCTCCCTTTAAAAAAATTATTACTATGACTTTAAGTCAAATACGGTACTAAGATTGTGTTTCATATACAGTTTAATTATTCTAGAATTAATAATTGCCTCAGTTTTTAGTTGCTTACTTTTCTTTGAATCTTTTGGTAAAGTCTTCCTCCACCTTCCAACAGTCCTACAATTATATCATGTATAGTTATTTTACATCTTGTTAACTGATAAAAGAAATTTTAGGATGAACTACATCCTAAAATACTTCTTCATTATCTGAAGTGGTATGTAACCCTAAATACTACTTCAGATAGTGAAGGAAGTATTCGTGTCATATTGGTTCCTGAGAAAATGTGGACAAGGTGGCTCCAAACACCTCCAGAGAAAGCCTGTGTGTATTAACTAATATTCACAAGAGGTCAGAGTTATTTGTCCCAGCTTAAGCCATGAGCTACTTTGTTGTGCAAAGTGCTTTTGTATTGGTAATTCCATTGTCTAATAATGTTTTATGGCAAACAAATGTTAATGTCAAAGGAAAAACCACTTAAAAATAATAGGCAAAGAAAAGGTTGTATGACATATTTATAACTAGCTACATTTAAGAGGCTGTCTTTGCCGTGTGCAGTGGCTCACACTGTAATCTCAACGGTTTGGGAGGCTGAGGTTGGTGGATCACTTGAGGCCAGGAGTTTGAGACCAGCCTGGCCAACATGGCAAAACCCCATCCCTACTAAAAATATAAAAATTAGCTGGACATGGTGGTGGTGGGTGCCTATAATCCCAGCTACTTGGTAGGCTGAGGCAGGAGACTCCCTTGAACCCAGGAGAGGTTGCAGCGAGCCAAGATGGCGCCACTGCACTCCAGCCTGGGCAACAGAGTTGAGACTGTCTCAAAGGAAAAAAAAGGCTATCTTTTCATTCTAGATGATTCTAAATGGGTCTTATGAAAGGAAAAAATAAAATACCAGTCTATTACACAAAGGCACAGTAGAGAAAGTAGAAGAGATTCCTTGTTAAGTATTGAGTTTCCAGTGTAATTTATGGCAGCTTCATACATACTATCTAGTCAGGCCTCTTGATTGCAAGTGACAAAAATCTGCATCTGCCTTTATTGAACTCACTGACTAATCCTTGTATCCAGGAGAATGGGCAGTTCTGGCCAGCCTGGTCAGTGGGCCTGTAGGATTGCCTTCCCTATCAAAAAATGATGGAGTTAGGGAAGGGAAATATCCAAAAGGAACAGATGCTAGAGACACACAGGCATACACATCCACAGAAGAAAAAGGTGAAAAGAAACAGGTATCCCACATAACTTGGGATTAATATCATATTTCTAATGTATTTTTATTACGGATTTCTGATTTTTGCAAATGAACTATTTTTGTTTCAGATTAACGTGAGCTTTAAGTGTACTTTGTTATAGTTACTAGTTTAGTAATTTAATACTAATGTATTTTTTTAAGATTGAAAATGCAGATATTTTTCATTTTTGGAGACAGGGTTTCTCATTCTGTCACTCAGGCTGGAGTGCAGTGACTTGATGTTGGCTCACTGCAACTTCTGCCCACAACCCCCCAATTCAAGCGATCCTCCCATCTCAGCCTTCCAAATAACTGGGACTACAGGCTTGTGCCACCACGCCCAGCTAATTTTTGTATATTTTGGTAAAGACGAGGTTTTACCACATTGGCCAGGCTGGTCTTGAGCTCCACCTAAAGTGATCCACCCGCCTCGGTTTCCCAAAGTAACAGGCGTGAGCCACTGAGCCTGGCTGGAAAATGCACATGCCTCTAAATAAAACCTGACTTAGAAGATTTACTTCTTACCATGTTTTGATTAGATTTGATTAAATGTGTGTTGCCACTTAAGGAAATTTGGGGTATTATGTACATTAACAAACTATTAAATTTTCATTGAGAGTTGTATATTGTATGTTTTGCTGTTTCAGATATGGCTGTATCAGAACTTAATTAAACACAGCTCTCTGTTTGTCAAGCAGTTGGATGGATCTGAGAGACTTACGTGCTTATTTCAAATAAAAAGATTGATGAGCCTCTGTTGCAGGTAAAATTCTATTGCAAGTCAACAACGTATGTAATGTACTGATCACCTCTTCTAGAGGAACACCTTTTGACTTATTTTCAGAGACAGTGGCTTTTCCATACTTGTTTTTGTTTTTTAAGAGATCATAGACTTCTATATATTGTAATTTTCATTCTAGGTGATTTTGGCCAACAAGAGGTACAAACGAAAACACAGATATTTTTCAGATGACTTTTTCTTGCAAGGGTGTCCTGGAATTATTTTGTTAATGTTGGCCATCTTGGTTATTAGGGAATGGAAAGTCAGCCAAAAGAGGACTCCTGATATGAGAAAGACTCCATTCCAGAGGGGTCTCCACCAAAATGTAGTTTGAAAGCTACATCTTTAGAGTATACCTTTCATTAGGCATTTATTATTCGTGTGTGAACTTGAAATAAGTCACTGCTATGACTTTCTTGGATTCAGTCTGCAAAAGAACATGTTTAAAACCTCTAACATTTACATTTTGTTAAAATTCCATTTCTCATCAAAAAGAATCATTGCTCCTTAGGGAAAACAGCCCTGGCTTGAGGTAGAGAGTGCACTTGAGCCTTTGTGACCTCACAGATAGAACTATACTATTCAGTTGCAGTTCATTTTAGCCTCTTAAAATGATAGTATTATAATTATTTGTATTGTTGTTATGCATTATGTGCCAGGAAGCTTTTTTAAACATTTGCAACAGAGTCAGTCTATTCAGTATGTACATTGTTAGTCATGTTTGTCACTTTTTTTAAAAAGCCTCAATGTATATTTTTAAATTATTGATGTATTTTTATCTTTTTCGTTTTATAGCAAAAGAGCTCTCAGGCTTTCATGTTGGGTTTGGGGGGATAGAGGGAGGAGTGGACTAGAGACAGCCAAGAAGAAAGTTTTGGGAGTGACATATGTGCTCTGTGCCTTGATTGGTGTGACCTGTCTAGACTTACTGTACTGCCCTCTTCAAATGGGTATAAGGTTTATTTTTGTGATAGCCAAGCTTTCCCTTCTGCCTGCAGTTCTTCTCATAGTAGGAAGGGAAGCCTTAGTCAAAATGAGAGATGACTTAGGGCTAGAAGTAAAATCACTGTTCCATTTGGAGGATATTGCAGGCATGGAAAGTCCCGAAAGCATCTTTCAGGAGATACTGTGCACTGTTAAAGAGATTCGTATTTGAGTTTAATTAAATGCAGCTTCTTGATACAGTTCGTGGATTGTTACACTTCTTACAGTGTTTTGTAATCTTGAATATTTTCTGTTCGTTTCACCACTGTCCATTTTTCATATCTGTGAACTTAGTGCCAGCATACCGTTTGGCACATAACAAGAATCCTTTGAAAAACCGTCTGAGTGACTGAAAGTTGGTTGGATGATTTCCCTGCCTATCTCTTAAGATGTCCCTATTTTCAGAGATCATCTTGTACTGGAATAGTTTCTTTCCATTGTCACAAAGTCACTTGGGGAAGCTTGGTGACATTTTGCCATCCAGTAAGTGTGCAAATACTTTTTTTCATTTTTACAGGTTGCTGCAAAACTGTAATGATGACAGTTTGAATGTTGCACTTCCAATGAGAATGCTTGAAGTATTCTCCTCTGAGAATACTTACTTGCCTGTTTTACAAGATGCTAGCTATGTGGTGTCAGTGATTGAACAGATTTTGCACTACATGATTCACAATGGTAAGTAGTCAGCAGGGTCAGAACTGTGGCTCAGCATCCCGATGGGCAGCGAGCAGAGGCCAGCCTGCTGCTGCGAGCTTGTGCACGCGGTCTCAACATCAGAGTGGGACTGGTGTCCCAGGCGAGTTGTGCTCCATCCGTGGTGCCCACCAGAGTCCCAGATTCCAGCATCTGTCCTCGGCTCCACCCACTCTGAAAATTTAGAACCATGCTACTTTCTTTGCCTTTTTCCTTTGCTTGGAAATGAAGTTAATATATGCTTTCATAAATTGTCCCAGTACCGTAATCCAAGATTTGTATCTGCAGTGCAGCTGTTGGTCCTTCACCTGAGCAGGAAGGGCTCTTCATACCTCATGCTCATTCCGAGTGAATGGGAAGGATAGTGCCAAAATTGTGTGAGTTTAACGTCACTCCGAGAGCCTTTATTTGGTTACATTACTTTTCTTAAAAGAATGGTGTCCTCACATTAGTTCAGTAGAAGAGAATAGGATATTTAGTTTGAATTTTTTAACTCATTGCTAAAATTTTAATACATTGATAATGCTCATAGAATGACTACATTATATAAGCTACAATGAACTGTATCTGAAACTCTTAAGGACACATTAGTAACACTTTGGAGAAAAAGTATGAACTAGACATGATTTTTAAAGCTTTCATGAAGTGAACAGTATATATCCTAAAACAAAAAAACCTTCGATCCCAACATCCTCATAGGTAGAAACCCAGGCACTTCAGGACTCCTGGACTTCAGAAATGTTTGTCAGCATTACAAATGTATATGAGAGGTCTGGAAAGGCAGTTGTAAAGGGAGGTCTGGAAAGCCATTGTCACACAAAATTATAAGTAACTGTGGTTTTCTGCTTTTGTTCGCTTGAAGTGATAGTCTGGGTTACATCTAGCAGACTTGAAATCTAGACATTTGGTCCTCTGAATTAAAACTACAGAAATTAAATTCATATTCATTTCAGCCTTACCTTGGCGTATCCCTATTTTTTTAGACTCCTTTGTTGAAAACTGAGGGATACTGTGTACCAGCTTAATTAAAAGTAAACTGAAAGTTGTAGAATTTGTTCTTTTTAAAAATTCATGATTAAAAGTGGCTCATTGTATTAATTGATACACACACACACACACAGTTTTAAGACCAAGCATTTGAGGAGAATTTGTACTGTTTTCTAAAAGTGTAAGGAAAATGGTTAAGAAATACGCATTATTTGAAATGTGTCCCCTAATACCGGAAATGCTTAAAAAAAAAAAGCCTTGATGTATTTTTTTTTAATTCTTGATGTATTTTTATCTTTTTAGTTTTCTAGCAAAAAAGCTTTCAAGCTTTCTTCATGAGTTTCACTCATCAGCAGCATACAGTAGGTTAGACTTGGGGTAGTTACAAAGTATATCTAATGACAAAGTACTGAGTATATATTGTTTAGTGATTTTCACTCAAATATGAAGCTGTGTAGGTCTGTTTCAAAAACTGGCCCATGCAGATGGATTGTTTTTAATGTGTGCTTGTATACTGATGAGATATTTAAAAATCATATCTGAACATTGTTTTTTTTCTATAAAAATGGAGTAAATGATTCTAAAAGAATATATGATTTGGATCATTCTTGATACTCAAGAGTTTATGTTCACTGCCCACCCAGAGTTCCTATCAAAAGCATAGGCTGGAAATTTTAAGAGGTTCTAAAAGTTGTTTCAGTTTATGTCTAAGATGCCTTTAAATCAGTTAACTTCTTCAGTGCCCAGATTGTGGTCTCCAAATATTATCATTTCCTCTAAAAGGAGCTTCAGAGTTCCTGGGGAAAAGGCTGATTACAGGGTAGAGGACGCAAGAGGTGAGACTGGGGCATGTTGTTCCAGCAGAGAGCAGAGGACCAGCAGTGACCCTGAGGTTCGGGAGGCTCCTAAAGCCCGCCCCAGGGCCCCAGGTGGAGCAGTGCGAGGCCAGGACTGCAGCGTAATCAAACTCTGTGAGTTCAACACGATCTTTAAAAAACACACAAATAGAGACAGATTATAAGATCACAGTATTTTAGCCTTATTGGGCTCCTGATACAAGTGAACTAGTTAAATAGAATTTCTAACGTGAGACAATTGGAGACTTGAACACTGACTAGATATTTGTGATGTTAAGGAACTGCTCTTCATTTATTTTAGCTGTGATAATGTTTCAGAAAAGTCTTTTAATGATACACTAAAATAATCGTATCTTAGACTTGCTTCCAAATGGTGTATAGGTGAATTGAGATTGGCTCTAGTTGACAGTTGTTGGTACACAGTCTGTATACCATTCAGCTGTCTATATATTTGTTTAGTTTTCCGTTTGAACATGGTAAAGAACTAATTTAAGTTTGGACCTGTAGAGATTGTAAAAAGGATTTAAAAATTGACCAGTTTTTTCCCCTTATTATAGGAAAAGGCACTAAATTTTAAATGCGTGTTTTTCCTTTTAGGGTATTATAGGTCTCTCTATTTGTTGATTAACAGCAAGCTTCCATCAAGTATTGAATATTCTGATTTATCTCGAGTTCCTATAGCAAAAATTTTGCTAGAGAATGTTCTAAAACCATTGCACTTTACTTACAACTCCTGTCCGGAAGGTGCGAGGTGAGGCTGGAATGGATTTATTGATTTTGTCATTTCTCAAGATCTATATCTGACAGTAACTTTAACATAGGATGTGATTTTAAATATAGACTTGAAAGTCAGATTTTTACTTTATTAGTGTTGATTTAGTTTATAGAAAAGTGTACTTTTTCTTTCTGGCCTGTAGCCTAATACAAATTTGAGATTCTGGTGACGTTATTTTCCTGCTTTTCTAGTAACTATCAAAAGTTAACGAAAACGTGGCAGTTATCTTAATAGAAAAGACATTAAGTTTATTTAGGTTGCTTGAGTTGATATTAAATGATTAACTTGGCTAATTTAGAAGAGTAGATTATCTTTTTGAAGGATATTTTGAAAGATTATTTTAATCAGTGATTGGATGGACAGTATGCTTTGACATTATAAAAAGCTTCTGTTTTTCTTTTTCAGGCAACAAGTTTTTACAGCCTTCACAGAGGAGTTTCTGGCAGCACCTTTTACAGATCAGATTTTTCATTTCATCATTCCGGCGTTAGCAGATGCGCAGACCGTTTTCCCTTACGAGCCCTTTCTGAATGCACTGTTGTTAATAGAGAGTAGATGTTCAAAAAAGAGTGGTGGAGCACCCTGGCTTTTCTATTTTGTTTTAACTATTGGCGAAAATTATTTGGGTATGAAATACAAGACTTTTTTACCTGAACATGTATATGGGTAGCATTAGCAGATGAGTCAAGAGAAGGCCGTGAAGTGGCAGGTGTCATGGAAAGGTGGGCCTCTCTTGGAAGAGTGTATTTGCTGAAGGGCTGTGGTCTGGGCAGTGTTGCTGGGGAGAGTTTCCAGATACAGTGGGAAAGACTGACTTATATACATGTCTTAGGAGGCCGCACAGATTATTTTAATAGAGTGAACGGAATTAAATGGGAAAGCTCTTCTGTGAGTCAGGCCTGTTTCCCTACTTTTCCTAAACTTACAGTGTGCCTATTCTAGAATGATAACATCTTCCTGACGTATTGTTGAAACCATGCATACTTGCACGCATGAATTATTAATGAAAGAAATACAGGGAAAACCAAACTTTTTCTTACTCTCACACTCAACATTGAAAAATTCTGTGACCGGAAATGAGGGTGTGTTTTTTTTTCCCCCACACACCAAGCAGTTTTGCAGTGGATACCACGTAGGTATTATACAATTAAGTTCAATTCTGATGCTGTCCAGCTGGAAATAATGTCAGATCCCATAATCTGAAGGCTTAGTCCTGCAAGACTACACCCACTTCAGAGGCCAATTACAAGTAATAGGTTGTCACCTATACTTCTGGCCACCCTGCAAAAATGGGGATTCTACAACCCTGCCTTGGATTTGGTCATTTACTAGGACACCTCCCAGAACTCGGGGAAGCCGAGGTAGGCGGGTTGTGGAGCTCGCATGCCTTCTCTCGGCATTCCACGCCCTCAGCACCTCCATGTGTTCAGCTCACTGCATCTTCCTGTTGAGTTTTATGGTGCTTCATCTCCAGTGTCCCTCCAGCAGCCCCTTGGAGGTTGGTGGGAGGGGCTGAAAGTTCCAACCCTCTGATCACTTGGTTTTTCTGGTGAAAAGCCCCATCCTGAGGCCCCTAGATGGTCACCTCAGTGCATAAACTCAAGTGTGATCACAGAGGGCTAGCTATGAATAATAAGACTCTTCTCTTTCAGGAAATTCCAAGAGTTGTAGGTGCTTTCTGACATGAATGGGGACTAAATCTAAATATGTTTCCTATTATAACACAGAATTTTAAAATAAGTTCTGGTCAGAAATGCCTCTTTGAGTATGAAGGAAAATGGCATCTTAGTTTTCCATTTTAAAAAATAACATTTAACTAAAATACATTTTAACTGATTGTTTTACAAAGGGGCCCTCTCTGAGGAAGGGCTGCTGGTGTATTTGCGGGTGCTGCAAACCTCCCTCTCTCAGCTACCAGTCTCTCCTGCCAGCGCCAGCTGTCACGACTCGGCCAGCGACTCGGAGGAGGAGGGCGAAGAAGCTGACAAGCCCTCGAGCCCGGTGAGCCCTCGATGCTGGCAGCCCTGTGTGCTCATCTGTCATTCTGTCTACCCCTACTTTCAGTTACACAGCCAGACCCTCAGTTTTTTCTACCACAGTTTCTGTGATTAGAAACAGTTTTTTCCACCGCTTTCTTAGTATGTTTATGGAAGTGTAAATGGAGACACATAGTTTTGTGTTTGTTTTTTTAGGCAAAATAGGATTATACTGTATGTTAACTTAGTTATTAGGATATATTTTCTAGCAGTGAAATTGTTGGGTCAGAAGTTCCTTTTTACCCTATCCTGTGAATACCAAGTAATATCTTCCGTTAATTTCTGCTGATTTTATAGAGGATATGTGTTACGATTTATTTTAAAATTATTTTCAAGTTCTTACCTCTTTTATTCCTTAACTGTTGAGTTTACAGTAAATTTTCAAGGAATAAAAAACTTTAAAATTATATATACATGCATACTTAATTTGTGTTTTACTTAATATACCTACCAGTGGCTTTTCTTTGGTCTTAACACTTGAAATGGCTTGAGGTATGGCTATCATAAGTTATTTTTTTTCATTAAGGAGTTGTATATTGATTACTAAGTGTAATCACAGAATATACTTGAGAGGGTCTCCGGGCCTCCAGGTGAAGTCCGTTTTTGCAGTATTGTGAAGTGGGTGTGTCAGTGCACTGCTGCACCTTCCTGGACAGAGCTTCACTAACGTCAAATGAAAGAGATGACAGCGGTAAGAGGATTGAGAAGTAAGCACAGGGCTTTGTTTAAAAAATAAAAATAAGAGAAGGTGAAGAAAGGAACACATTATACTGCCAGGGCTTATGGCTGAGAGGCAGACTGATTACCAAGGGGTGAAGTCGTTTTTATAGTGGATAGTGGGTGCTGGAACAGTTGTGTCTGTTCAAACTTACACCAATAAGTATTCATTTTTGTGTGTGGTTATAAAAAAGTGGGTTCTGTAGTGGAATGTAGATAAAATTTTTGTGTTTGGAAGAAAGTTTTAAAATAGCTTCCATAGAATCTGTGAAATTAAACCTTTATTTATATACAACGTATTTTGTATTCATGTGAAGATGGGGCTGTGTGCTTTCTCAGTGAGAGAGAGGACAGAGCTTTTCCTCACTGTGGGTGTGCAAACACAACGAAAGCAGAGCACAAGGACCCATGAACCAGTAAGGAAGCTGCAGGCTCTCTTTCTTGTGCTTACACTTGGAACATTTAAGAAGTGGAATCAGTTGCTTGATTTTTAAAATTCTTTACAACTGTAGAAAATATTACTACACTTTATTTTAATTCTTTTTAATATAAGAGTTTCAAGATCTGCATATTACATAACTTTATATAATTTATACTTTATACTTTAATTTCCTTTTTTCATTTATTCCCTTCATTCTTCCTTTGCCTTGGGTAGTGTCCACATTTGGGCTGAGAACTACAGACCCAGTTTTGAACCAGGCACTTGTAGGTTTCACTCCAAGTCATTCTCTCCTTGCCAGGTCTCTTACATGTATGTTTCTATGTTGCCTTTTCTTTCCCACGGCACTTAATCATATAGAACCTAATGTGATTGTAAGATTTTTCCAGGGTCAAAGTTCACCCTTGATAAGCTCTTTTGCCTTTAGGTTTCTGTATAATTTGTACACTACAGCTGGGCGCGGTGGCTCACCCCTGTAATCCCAGCACTCTGGGAGGCTTAGGTGGGTAGATCACGAGATCAGGAGATTGAGACCATCCTGGCCAACATGGTGAAACCCTGCCTCTACTAAAAAAAATACAAAAATTAGCTGGTCGTAGTGGCACGCGCCTGTAGTCCCAGCTACTCGGGAGGCTGAGGCAGGAGAATTGCTTGAACGTGGGAGGTGGAGGTTCCAGCGAGCCAAGATCGCGCCACTGCACTCCAGCCTGGTGACAGAGCAAGGCTCTGTCTCAAAAAAGAAAAAAAATTGTGCACTACAAAAATAATAGTGCTAGGATTCCTCTCTCATTCTGACACTCCTTTTATTAGCTTTATGTTAAAGATTCAAGTTTGACAGATGAATTTACTGCTTTTATGTATAGCAATGTTTTGTTTGGTAGATTATTTATAATTACATAAATTGTATTCATCCAAGTTTCCAAAGAGTACGGTCAAAATACCCAGTTACATATATTCATATATACGCATATATATGAAAAAAGTATGCATCTTTGCTTACTGCCCCAAATGAGTAAATTGCATAGATTGGCTTGAGTTTTACTCAGTAAATCAAATCTTCTGGAGAGATTAAGATATAAAATAGATTTCTTATATATAGCCCTTAATTAAAAAAGATTTCTTCAGTAGGCTGGGAGCAGTGGCTCATGCCTGTTATCTCAGCACTTTGGAAGGCTAAGGCAGGTGGATCACTTGAGGTCAGGAGTTCAAGACCAGCCTGATCAATATGGTGAAACCCTGTCTCTACTAAAATACAAAAAATCAGCCATGTGTGGAGGTTGGTGACTGGTCCCAGCTACTCAGAAAGCTGAGGCAGGAGAATTGCTTGAACCCAGGAGGTGGAGGTTGCAGTGAGCTGACATTGTGACACTGTAGTACAGCCTGGGCAACAGAATGAGACTCTGTCTCAAAAAAGAAAAAAAAAAATATTTAATATTCTCGCTTACTTTGCTTAAACTTGGATCCCAAATTAAAATGAAAATGCCATCAGATGATAATAGTTTCACTATGTATGCTTGTCTTAGTACAACTTGTTTTTAAAAATATATAGGAAATGAGGTTTTTTTGAAATGTAAATGCCGAAAATACTGTTATGTCATAAGCAAAAACTGAGTATTCACAGTTTGTTACTGTGCTAGGCAAAATGAATGCCTGCTGGTGACTGGATCCCTCGAGGATTTCACACCAGGTCCATTGTGATGTGGATAATTTGGAGATGATGCCTGTCTTTCTTCACCTGAAGAAAAACGTGATTTTGTGTGTGTTTGTAGTGAAGACGCTCAGTCAAGCAGGTTTATGGAGATTGATTGTTCTGGTGTGTTCTAGGAGGATGGCAGACTGTCAGTGCAATATATAACAGAGGAATGTCTGAAGAAGCTGGACACGAAGCAGCAGACCAACACTCTGCTCAACCTGGTGTGGAGGGACTCTGCGAGTGAGGAGGTCTTCACCACCATGGCCTCCGTCTGCCACACGCTGATGGTGCAGCACCGCATGATGGTGCCCAAAGTCAGGCGAGTGTCTGTGGGCATCTGTGCCAGGTGGCGCCAGCTGGAGAACATAGCTTCCTCCTTGGGAATGGCTCTCTTTTATCTGCTCTTTTCTGGTGGAATATGGTGTAGGATATTACACTGTCCAAGCGTTTTCGTAAAAAATTGTTGGTGTGGCCAGGCATGGTGGTTCACGCCTGTAATGCCAGCACTTTGGGGGGCCAAGGCAGGTGGATCACCTGAGGTCAGGAGTTCAAGACCAGCCTGGCCAACTTGGCGAAACCCCATCTCTACTAAATAATACAAAAATTAGCTGGGCATCGTGGGGTACGTCTGTAATCCCAGCTATTTAGGAAGCTGAGACAGGAGAATCGCTTGAACTTGGGAGGCGGGGGTTGCAGTGAGCTGAGATTGCACCATTGCACTACAGTCTGGACGACAGACCAAGAATCCATTTCCAAAAAAAAAGTTTGTGTTTTTCTTTTCTAAACCAACAAATACTGAGATTTTTTTCCTGGCCTGTGAGCCTCTGAAGTACCCTGTGTGTAATATTTCCTGTACTACCTTAGGTATATGAGTTTATTCACCCATTTGAAAGGTTGGACTCATACCTGCATTAGTGAACCACTGTGTTACATATCTTTTTAGGCTTTTTTCATAGTACGCTTTTTCGTGGGGTTTGTTTTGTTTTGTTTTTTCTTCAAACATCATCTCACTCTGTTTCCCAGAGTGCAGTAGTGTGATCATAGCTCACTGCAGCCTTCACTTCTTGGGTTCAGGCGATCCTCCCACCCCAGCCTCCTGAGTAGCTGAGACCATAGGCATGCACCACCACACCTGATCAATTTTTTTTATAGAGATGGGCTCACTGTGTTGTCCAGACTGTCTCAAAGTCCAGGGCTCAAGTGATCCTCTCACCTCAGCCTCCCAACGTAGTGGGATTATAGCGGTGAGCCACCACACTGGGCCTTCATAGTACCCTTTAATTAGATTGTCCCTGACAATTTATTACTAAAAGTAAATTTTTGTTTTTTGGCCTTTGAAATAAACTTTTGGTTCGGACAAAACTTGCAAGTTAAAGATATGGCAAATTTGTGCTTAGATAATTGTGATAGTAATCTTGAACTATTTTATTTCCCTCCATTTTGAGTGATACGTTAGTGGTTTCTTGAGAATTTAAAAGAAAAATACTCAATTGGATACAGCGCAAAATCTATGTAGTAGTTCTCCTAGGACCCGAGGGACTGATGTTGCACAGGCAAGCTGTCAGTAAGTGAGCAGGTCTGACACTGATTCGTGTTACCCTGTAGAATTCTCTTTGTGTTTATAAAATGCCACCCCATCACATGAAAAGAGTGATTTCTGTTGGTTAGGAAAGCATTCTCTAAAATGAACTGTAAGTAAGAAACCCATCGTTTGAAATGGCCTTGTAAACACTAATGTAGCCAACTAATGAGGTGCTATCTTCACTCACTGGTGTTTATTACCGTCGGAGGAAATAGATGTCAGTGAAACAGTGGCTCCTAGATTAGGTCATTAGCTCTTTGCTGGCTAATTGCCTGAGAGCAGGATGTGAGATCTGAGGATCGGAGTGGCTGAACCAGGATTCTTGCTTTTATTGTAGCACACAGCCCATTGCTGTGGATAGTAATTGCTGGATTTAAATGCATCGCTGTCCTGGTCTGAGGTTTACTAGAGAACCGCTTCCAAAAGGTGTTTAATGGGTGAAGGAACTTTCTGTGTAGGCTTGATTTTATGAGTACAACACCTATTTCCTCTAAGAAACTACTCTAGGAATTTTATTTATGGCTTAAACATGTTAGGTTCTAATATTTAGAAAGAGCAAGTAGGCTTACTTTAACTGTTAGAGATTTTAGCTGCTTTCAATTTTAATTTTTTTAAATAAGTATTTAAAAGATGATTAGTATATTCTCAGGTTGATAACTCATTCTCAAGCCCTCACTGATTAGTATTAGTCCCTCTTATTTTCAAGGTTAGGATTTGCCATTTAATTTCTGCTTAACATTGATTGTCAGGGTATTCAAATGAATGTGGAGGCCTTTGTACCCTGACATGGAGAGATTTTCAAGATGTATACAAGAAAACAAGGAAGAGGCAGGACAATATCAATAAGAACCTGCTGCTTCTGTGAGAACGATAGGAAAAAAATGTATATTCATACTGCATAAAGAAACTTGGAAGCATATACCAGAAACTCATAGAACTGAACACTCACGTCCAAATATGCTGAGGAAGCTGAGGCTGGAGCACAAGTGGTCTTCTGAGTATACTATTTTATAACACTTTGAGTTCTGGATTAGGTGAATGACTTAGTATTTTTAAATTGGTTAAGTATTAAATGAATTGGCAGCTCCTTTTTTGAGAGGAAATTTTATATTAACATGCACTTGGAAATTTGGATCTAACATCTTTAATATCCACTATTTTTAAATGTGAGTAAATATTCTTTGGCTGTATTGTAAGAGGGGGAAAAATGAAGGCTCTACTCCAGTATCAGACAATAAGAAAGGTTACCAAAGACAGCCTGTTAGAAAGTGTTCTGCTTTCATCCTGGTGTACTTGGGGTTTCGGTGTTCCACTGACTGCGTTTGTGATGCTAGAGGCCTGTGCTGCCCCGCTCAGCCCCACGACACTCCTGGCCTTTGTGTCTGTTTGATGTTCCTCGTCCTCCTTTTTCCTGATCCTCTTTGACCCGCTCCTTTCACAGACACCATATTTGCTTGATTTTTCTTTTATTTGGGCTTCTCAGTTTCCTTTGTGGGTTTTTCTTTCCCCCTCTTTTTCAGTGTTTCCTAAACTACTACTTGTATTTTTTAGTTGTTTTTTTGTTTTGCTTTGTTTTTTATAGACAAGAGTCTTGCTTTGTCGCCCAGGCTGGAGTGGAATGGCCTGGTTTTGGCTCACTGCAGCCTCCACCCCCCGGAGTCGAGTGATTCTCCTGCCTCAGCCTCTCGAGTAGCTGGGATTACAGGCACCTGCCACCATGCCCTGCCAATCTTTGTATTTTTAGCAGAGACAAGGTTTCACCATGTTGGCCAGGCTGGTATTGAACTCCTGACCTCAGGTGATCTGCCCACCTCAGCCTCCCAAAGTGCTGGGATTACAGGTGTGAGCCACTGCACCTGGCTTAGCTTTTTAGTTCTTTATTTGGTTCTCTGGGTGATCTCTGTCATATACAAGCGGCTTCAGCTATGTTCTAGTGACTCTCAACATTTGTGTCTTTAGTTTAAATAACTTTCTGGAGCTCCAGATGCAAGTACACTTGCTTAATAGGAGATGTCCCCAGGACGTCTCCTGTCCCCTTCCAGGGACTGAAGTTGAGTCCAACATCTCTTCCTCTTAAGAGCCTCCTCTTTCTGTCCCTATTTTGGTGAACAGCCCCGTTGTCCACTTGGTTGTCTGTACCTGCAACCTGAATCTGCAGTGTCCTGCATGGTAGTCACCAGTGATGGGTGTTTCACGTTGAATTAAATACAAGCACAGACTCAGGTCCTCAGCTATCCAAGCCACATGTGGACAGTGCTGCCCAGAGTTTCGGCTTGGTCACTCCCCCCATGGTGCTTGAGAGCTGTGTTGTTTATGTCATGGTTTGCCAGCCTGCATTGTGGAAAATAGAACCCTGCTTGTTGCATTCTCTTGAACCGTGTAGACGCCCTTTGCTTTTAGGAACAAATTCACATTCCCTAGATTACTGATTTGTGCAGTGTCCCCTTCTCATCAAGTATTTGTTTACCTCTCACCTTTATTTTTAGCACAAAATACCTTTTCTCCAACCATAAACGAGGCAAAAAGGCATAGCTTGCATTTCTTGATCACATTGCGCTCGTTTATGCCTGCACGGTGTTCCCTGCCCTTTCATTTTGCATATGCCGGTCACTTCCAGTTCATGTCTAGGCTGGCCTGTTCTTGAGGCCTTGGCTCTTTTAACCCACTGATGGGTGGAAAAGTTTGGAAGCAGAATCTTGAAGATAGTGTTTTAGGGGTCAAGGAGGTTGATGTTATAATTTGCCTGTAGTCTTCACATAAACCATAAGGCACCACCAGTTTTATTTCAACACAGGCTTGATTTTTCCACCAAAATCTACTACAGTGCGGCAGCTCAGTTATGTCTTCTGTTATTAATCACTGTGACCTAAACAGTGATGTGTCCTCGAAGGGCAGTGCTGCTTCTGTGTGTGTGACTGTGTGTGTCTAGTGTTTGTTTTTGTTTTGAGACAAGGTCTTACTTTGTCACCCAAGCTGGAGTACTGTGGCGTGATCTCAACTCACTGAAACCTCTGCTTCCCGGGCTCAGGTGGTCCTCCTACCTCAGCACCCTCGAGTAACTGGGACTGTGGGCATGCCACCACACCTGGCTTATTTTTTGTAGAAAGGGGGTTTTGCCATGTTGCCCAAGCTGCTCTCGAACACCTCGGCCCAAGCTGCCTGCTTGTCTCAACCCTCAGCCTCCCAAAGTGCTGGGATTGCAGGTGCGAGCCACTGCGCCCGGCCTCCCATGTGTTTTCTAAGCAGTTCTTCGCCGTGTGTTTTCCAAGAACTGTGATGTATTTGGTGATGATGAGTGCTCTGTAGCTCTTGAGAGATTTTATAACTTCATATCTCATACTTTAATAATTCGGGATAAAATGATTACACAGATGACTTCAATGGAGAAAAATACATATTTGTTTTTCATTATATGCAGAATTCAAGAGAGAGGTATATATACTGTTCATGTGTTTATAAACAAGTTTTTATAATATTTTAGAAAAAATATTAAGGATGTACCTGGAGAGAAATAAATGAATTTTGCCTGTGATTTCATGGTTGCTTTCATTATCAGTGATATTTTCAGTATAATCAATAGAATTAATCAGCTATTGATTCATGTTAAAATTTGCATTCTGTTTCATGAAGTTCAAATAATGTTGATGAGCTTTTAAACATTTCAACACATAGTGATCTTAAAATTAAATCTATTTTGAAGTCATACATAGATTATAAACTAATTTCTATTAGTTATTGTTAGAAATATCAAATTAATAAAGTAGACTTATCTTAGTCAATGTTAGCAATACAATTTGTAGTGAGTTCTGAATCTTCAAAGAATTTTCAAAACATTTGTGAATAATTTCTTGACGGGAAATATGAGTAAACCTGGAAGAAGCATATACCACCAAAGTGATTCTAAATGCCTCCTACATTTTTAAAGTTTTCTTTTAAGATAGTGTTAAGAAATAGGAAGAGAAGGGGCTTCCTTTTTGATCTACCATCTGTGGTGGGACCTCCACCAAAATGCAGACTTTCATAAAAAACCCTACGAGGAAGACCATTAACTTGAAGGTTGAACCCTCAGATACCATAGAAAGTGTAAAGGCCAAGATTCAGGATAAGGAAGGAAATCCTCCTGATCATCAAAGACTGATCTCTGCTGGCAAGCAACTGGAAGATGGACGTACTTTGTTGACTACGGCATTCAAAAGGAGTCTGTTCTTCATCCTGTGTTGAGATTCATGGGGATACTAAGAAAAGGAAGAATTTTTACACCACTCCCAAGAAGAATAAGCACAAGAGAAAGGAGGTTAAGCTGGCTGTCCTGAAATACTGTCAGGTGGATGAGAATGGCAAAACCAGTCACCTTTGTTGAGAGTGCCCTTCTGATGACTGTGGTGATGGAGTGTTAATGGCGAGCCACTTTGACAGATATTATTGTGGCCAATATTGTCTGGCTTAACTGCTTCAACAAACCAGAAGACAAGTGACTGTGTGTGAGTTAACAGAAGACATGAACTTTAAAAAAAGAGATGGGATTATCAAAGAAGACATTCGCGGTAATGAATGCCACTTTCCCCCATTTTAATTTAAACTAGTATGAGGGAAAGTATATTTTTTGAATCTGTAAATCTTTTAATTAAAGAAAATCAATTACCAGTAAAAGGGGGCTGCCTGTTTACATTGGTTGTGGTTTTAATACTGGAATGTTAACACATCTCAGTATCTAAAGCTCGCCTTTTATTCTTAGCTA